CCAGGCCCGGGAGCCATCGCCAGTCCCCCTCGAGGCCTTCCCCAAACCGCAGCTCAATTCATGTCCAAGCATTCACCTTTACCTACTAAAACGCTGTCAAACCTAAAATGAGGACGTGGGCCCAGCTAGTGAATTAGCTTTTATTTGTTAACATACAGCATTCATCTAAGTTAGTGAAAAAAAAAAAAAGAAAATGCTTCAAAGAAAAGCAATCAGGCCATTTCTGCCCACACCTGTTGGAACAAGGACAGGTAGAACATCCCACAAACTGGCGGTTGTGACTGTAGGCCTGAACACTTCTCATTCTCTTACCTCTGAAAAAAATCACAGCTCAGCATACACTTTGGTTTAAGATTATTCTCTTTGTCATTAGCTCTGATATGTTATTTATGCAGACGTGTGGAAAGAGTTGATGTGTTGCTATCAGCAGTTGATAGTTGCTTCTGGCCACAGCTCAGTATGCACTTTGTCATTGTTTTCATATTTATGCATGCAATTGAACTGGAAGTAATATTCTTCTTGCTACTCCTCGGCAGTCTCAGACCATTCTGCTATTTTTCAACTCCTTCCACACAAAGTGAAGTCAGCTGATTACAGTGAGCAGGAAAAGGACTATTTGTTTTTGTTTCCTTTTTTCTGTCTGTCCATATTGCAGGTAAATGAAGTGCATGTAACTCAAGTCATGACTTGGGTTTTGAAAAGTTTTCTTAATGTGCAAATCTGCTGACACATTTGTAACTGGAAACACTTTAATATGCTGAAATATACTTTAAATTATTATCTGAAGAGAGTTGAAGGTTAACTGGGAATTCAGGATGGATCCAGGGGAATTTGGCAAGAATATATTTTTATTTTGAAAAACCGCAATTATACCACTGACAGAATCCGATTAGTTCTGTGCATTCTTCCTTTAGAATAGAAGAACCTCTGTTTTTACGTGTTAGATAATCTGAGGGCTAGTTTTAAGTTCTTCTGTATGTTGCGAGGTTAACCTATACGTTTGGGATTAGATTGACTTAAAAGAAAAAAAATATGTATCTTATAAATAAAGCTGTGATAGAACAACAGCTATCCATATTTAGAAAGACATGTTTGTCTGATAATGGTAAATAAAAGCAGTTTTGCTCTTTTATTGATTTGATTAGAGGTTTTCTTATTGAGAGTTTAGCCAGAAACCACACAACCCCACACATTGGAGAATCCAAACCCAGCTGAAACAAGCAGCCTTTTGCAAATACTGGAGTTTGGGGCTAATTAGTTCTGATAAAACCTGTGGATTGGAAACACACTGCCTGTCTGCCAAACTGTCTCAGCTCCATTTGAAGCTGCTGAATCCAATAAGAAGTGTGAATGACTTTAATTAGTGCTATCACAATGCTGTATTTGCCCATGTTAGCTTATTCTCTTAGAGCTGAGCTCTGAAACTGTTTGCAAACACACACACACACACACACTATCCTGTCTATTAGGCCTGTGGTGTGTTGCAGTAATCGCTGGCCCAGCATGATCTTACTGAAACATTGGCACCAGCATTAAGACAAACAGCCCCCTCCCTTTCAAACAAGACGACCCCCTGCTGTGCGCTAACAAGACTATAGCAACCACCCTTACCACACACACATTTTCCCCGTAGTAGTTATCCTACATGCAAGAAGACACATGCAAATGTGCATGTACAAACATTTTCATGTAGGCCACAGAAACATATTTACATTGTAAGATATAAGGGCAGGAGTTTTTTCATTGCACTGGATTGTGTCTAAATGACAGACAGCATCAAAAAGGAGTGTTTCCTTGTGGCCTTCACAACCATTTGTTTACAGAATATTAGTGAAATTAATTTTATCAAGCTCATCTTCAATGTGAACCAGGAGTTTTGCATGCAAAACTGAGTTTATACTGGTTTCCAATTAAAAACCAGAGAAACTAGTTTGTCCATGTGGCTTTAAACAGCGAATGAGCAAAACTGTTTTCTCTTTAGATTTAGGCAAGTTAAAATTTGAATGGATCAGGCACTGATGATTGGGAATATGCTGTATCATCAGCAGCAATGACAGCTCTTTTTTCCTACTTGTATAGGTTGGGACTGGAAGATGTTTGATCCACTGATTAACTTGAAAGATTGTCAATGAAAACCAGCTAAAGTACAGAGCAGGCTTCACTGGGGGAAGACAGCCATATTTTTTTGTTTAATTCATTAATTTGACAACATTAATGAAACGAGAAATCCTGTGAAATTAGTCAAAAAGCTAATTTTCAGAAACTGCCCAGATATTAAAGTAGCATTCTTAAATTCTAACTTACAGAGACAGAGACAGAAACAGAGACTGCAGCGTGTTGTGCGCTCTGCTGAGAAGGTGATTGGCTGCAGACTCCCATCTCTGCAGGACCTGTACACCTCCAGGACACTGCGGCGTGCAGCTTGGATCTCAGCTGACCCTTCTCACCCTGGACACAGTCTGTTTGACCTGCTCCCCTCAGGCAGGAGGCTCCGGTCCATTCGCACCAGAACCTCTCGCCATAAGAACAGTTTCTTCCCCTCTGCTGTTGGACACATGAACAATAACCACATGACTGTCCCCGCCACTAACACATGACCCTACGCTGTGTCACTGCATCATTTCATGTTTGGCACCGATCACCACCTGCACTCATGTATATATCTTTCTATGTAGCACTCATAATTCTTATTCTCATGTATATCCCATGCACATATCTTTCTTTCTACATAGCACTTTAATTCTTATTGTTTGCACTGAAGCACCGCAGCAATTTCCTAATGTTGTAAACCTCAACATCTGGCAATAAACCCCATTCTGATTCTGATTCTGATTCTTAAGAGCTGTGACAGAATAAAGTGATCTGGTGTTGTGTAGGTACAAGATGTAATATTTCCATCCTCTGCAGATGAATCCTGTGAGTCTGCTGAGAATCTGATTTGCTTACTATTTTGGTAATGGCAATCACTACAGCACTTGATGCTCCTTATCATTTTAAAGGTAGACGTTATAAATTCAGTAGAAAAAACAGCTAACATTTTAGTTTTCTCCTTCATTTCATGTTGCATTTTTGAGAAAATGAATGATTGAGTCAAGTGTTTTGACCTACAACCCACCACCAAGAGAACAGGCACTAATGTATTAAGTCCACACCCTAATTAGTTCATTTGTATCCTATTAGTTGGCTGTCTGCATTCCTATTTACATTCCTGCATAATGTATTTATTTTTTGATAACTTTTCCTTGTTTGTAAAGGGCGCTGTGACTCTGCGTCTGTGTGTGTCTCTTGGGGGAGTGCAAACAAGGGCAAAGTGATTATAACCCTTCCACCAGGGTGAACATTTTAAACAAACACCTATAGAAGGAAGTCTTGATTGACTTGACTTACTCTTCCTCTCCGCCCAGGCTGAGGGAGTGTCCTCTTCCAGCTCGTATAAAGCCAAACGCTCCCGTGTGTTACAGAGCATGCAGGCAGAGACGCGGTGCTGCACCGACACAAAGGAGTGAGAGAGAGAGAGAGAGGGAGGGTAGACTGGAAGTATCCACAGATTTTCAGAAAGTAAAACGCCTGTGTTGGATATCACACGTACTAAACATACTCGCAAACTGCGTGCGCATTAGCATGAGTTTGGCACTTCTCCTGGATTAACTGGACTTGCAGCCTGCTTGCAAAAAGCAAGTTCGCTCTGACTTTGGAGGACAAAACGCGCACAGAAAACAACGATGGATAGGAGCATCCCGGGATGGTGCGTGCTGTTAACCCTGGTTCTGCACGGAACGCGCTGCTTGGCTGCCAAAGAGCTCCAGTGCCAGGAGATCTCCGTACCTCTGTGCAAAGGCATCGGCTACAACTACACCTACATGCCCAACCAGTTCAAACACGACACGCAGGACGAAGCCGGCCTGGAAGTGCACCAGTTCTGGCCGCTGGTGGAAATAAAGTGTTCCCCCGACTTGCGCTTCTTCCTCTGCAGTATGTACACACCGATCTGCCTTGAAGACTACAAGAAACCGCTGCCACCGTGCAGGAGTGTGTGTGAGCGGGCCAAAGCTGGATGTGCGCCGCTCATGAGACAGTACGGCTTCCCGTGGCCAGACCGGATGAGATGCGACCTGCTGCCCGAACAAGGCAACCAGGACACGCTGTGCATGGACTACAACCGCAGCCAGACCACCACTGTCTCTCCTGTGGTGGCGAAGCCAACCAACCGACCCTTAAAGCCGTACAACACCAAGAAGAAGAGCGGCTATGGTCGTGGGATCCCCGGTAAGCACAAACCAGCAGCGTCTACGTGTGAAACGGGATGCTTCTGCCGTGCGCCCATGGTGCCCGTTACCAGCGACAGCCACCCTCTGCACAACCGCGTCAAAACTGGACAGATCTTGAACTGTGCCATTCCGTGCCACAACCCTTACTTTACACCAGAAGAGAGGACTTTTACTGCCTTTTGGATCGGCCTGTGGTCGGTTCTGTGTTTCATCTCCACTTTTGCAACTGTGGCGACCTTTTTAATTGATATGGAGAGGTTTAAGTACCCGGAGCGCCCCATCATATTCCTCTCCGCCTGCTACATGTTCGTGTCAGTTGGATATATTGTCAGACTGATCGCTGGACACGAAGAAGTTGCCTGCAATAGAGAAAACGGCGGAGAATACATTCACTATGAAACCACTGGTCCTGCTCTCTGTACCATCGTTTTTCTGCTGATCTACTTCTTTGGCATGGCCAGCTCGATCTGGTGGGTGATTCTGTCCCTCACTTGGTTTCTCGCTGCAGGTATGAAGTGGGGTAACGAGGCAATAGCCAGTTACTCACAGTACTTTCATTTAGCCGCCTGGCTCATTCCCAGCATGAAGTCCATCGCGGTTCTGGCTCTGAGCTCAGTGGACGGGGACTCCGTAGCCGGGATTTGCTATGTAGGCAACCAGAATTTGGACAACTTGCGGGGCTTTGTGTTGGCACCGCTGGTTATCTACCTGTTCATCGGTACCATGTTTCTGCTGGCCGGCTTCGTCTCGCTGTTCAGGATCAGGAGTGTTATCAAACAAGGAGGCACAAAAACTGATAAACTGGAGAGGCTGATGATCAGGATAGGAGTTTTCACTGTTTTATATACAGTCCCGGCCACTGTCATAGTGGCGTGTTACTTTTACGAGCAGCATAACAGGCAGACGTGGGAAATTACGCACAACTGTACGTGCATGACGGACCCGAACAGGCAGAGGCCAGACTATGCTGTGTTTATGCTGAAATACTTCATGTGCCTCCTGGTGGGTATCACGTCGGGAGCTTGGATCTGGTCCGGGAAGACCTTGGACTCCTGGAGGACTTTTTGCACGCGGTGCTGCTGGGGTAGTAAAGCCTCAGCGGGCTCCATGTACAGTGACGTGAGCACTGGACTGACCTGGAGGTCTGGGACGGCCAGTTCCGTCTCCTGCCCCAAACAGATGCCACTTTCCCGGGTTTGATCAGGTGGATTGGACGCCCAGTTGCCCAATCTCATGTCATTTGACACTAAAGACTTAAAACCAGCTTTCTGGGGGCAATGTGTCATAGAGAATGATTTTTGTTTTGTTTTTAATGGGTAAATTATTAAACGTCAGTCCCCAAACTGCTAGTTAAAGTCAAACTTTGTTCCTGAGCACTCCCCTAATGTGAAAGTTTAATGGATTTATGCTCCGGTTTGCTTATAAAACTTAGATCAGTTTGACTTATGGAAAGTGCTCTTCCCTTGCCTTCTTCCAGTGACGTCCAGGGGTTTTGAATAGAGGGTTTGAGAGGGGGAGGGGTGACTAATTGTGTTGGGATTGTCCATCAGCGTGTTGTAATTAGCACATTAATGAGCGCCTAATGGCTTCTCTTTAAATAATGAGACTGTCAGCAGCAGAACAATGTACCTGGCACGAAGAATGCAGAGTCTTATCTGGGCTTAATTGAATGCACACAGCTGACAAGATCCCCCTTGTCGATAGGTTATAAGGTATATCTGAGTATCTCCTTATTCTCACTGCAAAGAGCCGCTGTGTCTTAAACACAATATTCACAATGAGACTGTTCTGCTAGAAATGAGGCCATTGCTGGGCTGTTTTGTCTACAAGATGGATTTATGCGTACATTAATCAATGCCTTAATACTGCCTCGTACGGGTTGCATTTGCGCATAAAGTGTATTTATATAATTATTGGTGTACATACATTGTACATTTGTACATTGAATTTTACGAGACTGTAAATATATATAATTTCCATTTTGATAGAAGATTTTATTTTGAGAATAAAACAACTTTTATTGAACGTTTACTCATGTTTCCTGGTTATTCTCAATACTTGTTTCTCCTGGAATCTGACACTGTCAAACTGTGTATTTCTTAGTTTTTGTTTTTAAGTTGTTGATGCAATTCATGCCTTGAAGCAGCATCTCAGCATTCAGACTGATGAGCAGAGTGCGCAAGGTGCTGAAGTCTCAGCATCTCTGTGCGCAATGGCTGAGCTATGACAGCTGTAGTTTCATTTATATTTAACTAAAACATGTAAATTGCTTTTGTAGTCACGTGGGATAAGCTCTATTAAGCGTCCCTGGTGCTGCAGATTTACATGCTGTGAGACGAGGAGAACAATATCGGCACGGCAATGGTGAAACTACAGGTGGTCTTCTTAGTTTAAAGCCCCCTCCGCTTAAGATTTGTTATTAACTCTTGACTTCTGTTCTCTGTCGAGCTTAATGTCTCACATTTTACTTTATCCCACATAGATCGCCCAGTTTTCAGTTATTCGTTTTTGGAACAGCGGTAGTGGAAGAGGGACATTTGTTATTCCCGGTGTTATTTTTGGTTTGGCCATCAGAAGTTAAAGAAGAAACCGTCTGTTAAGCCAGGACAAAAAATGCTTATTATAAGAGGTTTAAGCTGAAGGCTCACATAACTCTTAATAAGATGGATCATTTACAAATGTGATGACCGAGGCTTCTAATTAAGACGTCAGAGAGGAGAGACAGATTTGAAACTCTCTCCATCGTGATCACGTCTTTGCAGTGTGTGGTCCGCTTATCCTGTTGAACACCATCACCCCCATTGTGGTTCTATTTGTGTCCATAATTTGGAAAAGGAAAAAAATGATTCCTGTTCTCCAGCATGATAAATCCACACGCTATTCATAAACTCAAATGTTACAGCAAAACCTTATGTGTTCAAAATTTGGGGGAAAATTGTACTTCGCTAAGAACGAGGGAAACGATAATAAAATGCCGCCATCTTCTGGTCAAATTATTAAAAGCTGTCAGCCATCAGTGACTCACAAAGCACAAAACTAACAGTAGCAGCTACAAATTAGTTTAATTTAACATAAAGCCTGAAAAACCTTCGTTTAATCTGAGAGTATGAAGATAAGGCTCAACTCTTATGTAAGATAATGCCTCTAAAAACAATCTGTCATCTTAATGAAGATCCTTTCAAAAATTTCCATTTCCTTTTTCCCCAAACACTCCCAGTTAAAGCTGTAAAGTTTCCATACATCACAAATCATATGGAAAATTAAATTAAATACATATTTTACGAATTTTCAGATCAAAAATAAGGAGAACAGTTGTCTTCACCTATTAAGTGGTCAGTGATTTATTTATTATTTTTTTGTGAATAGGTGTTTATTCTGTTTATGGGGTTTGTTTTATTACTATTTTTAGGTAAACATATGGACATTTCTGACTCCAACATTAAATGGCTTTTAAGTGACCTGATTCTGTCTGCACACAGGGCATCAGTTCGAATCACTTATTTCCTACAGAGGCCATTTTGACATGTTTCAATTTGTCTCAGAACAAATTGCTCTGCCACTACTTGTTAGGCATGAGACAAGTTTGCTTCCTCTTCCCGTGGTGTGTGTATATTTGTGTTGTGGCAGGGGGGTTGGGCATGCTCCCTTAAGCCCACAAGCAAAAAATCAACAGAGGAAATGGGTCGAGAGGTCGTGCCCGATCCATCTCCTTCTAACATAAACAAGACGCTGACTTGCCAGTTCAGCTCATCGCAGCCAGATCCTATTGGTAAAACCCAGAGAGCCCAACTCGTCTTAGTTTCCTCCAATTAGGACCTTCGTGAATGCAGTCTTTGTATAATGACCTAATTCGATGTCAAACTGTGACTGGTTGGGAATAAATCATGTTAAGATGTCTGAATGGCTTATATGGGCTGTTAAAGGTCACATAGCAATAGGAACCTTTAATTTCATAGAGTATACAGAGCTGGGGGGAGAGCATTTAGCTTTCATTATCAACCATTGTCATGTCAGGGCTGATTTACAATGCAGTCTTAAGCAAACAGTGCTAACTGACAGGTCTGTGATGGACGGAGGACCTCACTGCTTTCTGTCTCGGAGCATGCTAGAACAAATGCCACATTACTCTGAAAAGAAGTGTTTAAGGAAAATGAATGACTTAAAAATAATAATAATAAATAGCTGCATGAGAAGTTTGACAAGCCAATGTGGCCAAATGAAAACCTGCTTTCTAAGCTCTACAGTGTCATAAAATTAGCCCACTGATATTCTAATAAGCTTATAAGAAATAATTTTTAATACCACTAGGTAAAAGTGAATGTTTTTTTTATTTATCTGTGTAGTTTTTGACAGGATTACATAAATGCTATTAAGACCCATCAAGTTTACTCTACCTGCATTTTTAAAATCGCAAATGCCTACATGTCAAGTTATGCGAGGTGAAGGGTGCAGAGGTCACAGGTCAGAGGTCATATTTGTCTGGCATGCAGGGGCAAAAAGATCAGCCCACTAAATAATTATTAGCTGTAACTTGATCGCTTTGGACATATCTGATTGTGCAGAATGGATTCCTCCAGTAAATGTCTTAATGATTAAAACATCCACTTTGTTTTAGATGTTTTTAATTTTTCATTTTATTTTCATTTTTCTTACAAGCAGGGACAGAGTGAGCAAAGATTATCTTTCACTTGAAAATCAGAGTTATGACCAGGGTCAATAGAATATGATTGATGTGGGCATTTGCCGTAAAGTTTATGGTTCATTAAAAAGTGTAGGTGCTAGCACTTTTGGACCTCTAATACAAACATGAATCCAAAACAGAGTCCAAGATGCAGAGTAACAAACAATGCAAATGGCAAGATAACACAGAGGGAAAGAGGCAGGCAGGAAATCAGTACGATGCAACAAGGGAACACAGGTAAGAGAAGGTTACTTATACACACAAGGGGATGAGAGAGGTGGAGAAAACCAGAACATGGGAACACCAGACACCAGGAATCTGAAAATGCAGGATTACAAGTGTAAAAAAAAAAATAAAAAAAAAAAAACTCAACCTACAACAGAGATAAAACAAAAGGGTTGAAATAATAAATGAAACGCAAACTTGGGAAACAAACTGAAGATTTTTAATAATAAACAGGATTCAAAATGACATGACAAAGAACGCTTTAGTAAGACACTAGAAAAGGGGCTTCTAAGTGTTTATGCTTTAGAAGAAATGATAATTGCATCAAGGTCCTTTTTAATGATGTACATAAAGCATAAGCTTTGCTCACAGCACAAGCCAGGGAAATGCTGGCTGAAACATTTTCTCCTTTTCAAAAAGATTTTCATGTGTTTGCTGAAATTAATTCGTGAGCTTTTTTGTCTTCTGCTTCGGCTCTTTAATAAGCTAATCTGCAGACAAGAAGCCACAGCTACTGTAAGAAAACACCTGAAAGCTATTCAACATTTCTTCACATAGGCTCGTTGTCTCTCTCTCTCTCTCTCTTTTATTTATTTATTTACTCTCCAATCCCTGTATCAAGAACATCAAAGGGGGCATGATAGATTTTCTCTTTCTCTGTATAGTCATCAGGGACAACCTTATCCTCCCATTCATCTCAGCTACATCCTCATAGGTGAGAAGGGTGCTGAGGGATCAATATTTTTGATGCCTCTGACATCTTCTCTGATGTGCTGCTGTGGTCAATGTTGAGTTTTCCCTCTTACTTCTCAATCTCCTCCGTCTGTCACCCATGAGATCCGACCGCGTTATAACACCGGAGGCGCTCGCAGGTTGACGCGTCAACTCCAGCTGAGGATCGATGAGAAGTCTAAGTGTCAACTCTTAATTCTCTGCTTTGTACTGATATACAACACAGACTCCACAAAAGAAGAACTTGGTTTCAGAATTAAACATTTAACAATGAATGAAATATGCATTTATTTTTTTATTAAAAAATGGAAACTGACCGGAGCTTTAATCAAAGAAATAATGGATCACACTTACATGGAAATGTAAGCATTATTTATGTTTTATCAATCATTACAGTCTTGTATATGATTTACTTTTATAGGTGTTGAACTAAATTGAACTGAGTTGAGTTAAAAAACTGAATTGACGCTCACTCCTTTCTGTCCTGTTGGCTGTGTTTCTCCTTCCTTGACCAGAAGGTGGCAGTAAAAGCAGTAATCAGCAAACTATTAAAGAAAATCATTGAGCTGTAATTATTAAATAATCACCCATGACATTGAACCCAAAACCAGAAGTATATAAAGACATTAATGGGTTTCCATTGATAAAGTTCTGTGCATGGCTTCCCTGATTTGGTTGAGAAGAAATTCATTGACCGCAAAGTTCATAATGACAGTGTCCATGCTGTTGGGCCTGAGTGAGAATAATTGTGTGCAGCGAGGTTCCTAAATCTGGAGAAATGCCTACAGTAAGGAAATAAGCGATGTCCAGCTATCACATATCAGCATAATGCGTAGATGTCCACATACATTTGCTTTAATCACATTTTTATGGAGTTTTAGACACTTCTGTAAAAGGTTCTGTGTGTAAACATCTTTTAATTAGCTGGTCTGACCTGTGAACCAACACCAGTGACAGTGCAGTCCTTTGTCAGAGCACCCAGCTGATGACGTGCCAGCCTCCTAATACTGCTTTGTGTTTTAGCTGCCCCAAATAGCACAGCAGGACAATGAGAAGAGCACGAGGCATGTGTTAAGGAGTCATGCAACACTGTAGGTGCTCTATTGTTTTGTTCACAGTCACTGATTTAAACAGACTGAGCTCAGTAATTACATAGAACTCCTGCATGACAATGGACAGTAAATGTTTCTTTGAATGTAAAATGGTGGTTCACACTGCTGCCTCACAGCAAGAAGGTCCTGGGTTCAAATCCACAGAAAGGATGAGGCCTTTGCGTGTGGGTACTCCAGCTTCTAGGAGTTTAGGATAACTG